CACCTTTGATATCATTATGAATAATTCCCATCGCGTGAATCTCTTGAATTTTTCTCCCGACCTCTAGTCCGACTGTGATTAAATTGTAAAGGGGATTATGTATTATGTCTTCCAGCGTACAGTTTCCTTTATAAGTGGTGAGCAGTGCTTGGGGCTCAGTTGACACCCCCAGCAGCAGAGGGGCGCCGCCTGCGCCCTTCAGTGATTCCAAAATGGTGGCTTCGCGGTGGAAGCTTTTGGTGGCTTTAGTGGACTTGGCTACCTTAAGGGCTGCTTACATTCCGTGAGAGTTAACAAGCGCCACTACTCCATATGAGCCACTTCCCAGAACCTTTCCCGCGTTGTCCAGTAGGCGAAGGATTTCTTCTCGACCTAACTCCATTTTGGGCCTTTGGTCTCGACTGGACCAACTGAGATTGAAGAGAAGTAAGGCGGTAAAAGTCAGCTGCTCTTCATATCCTAGATGACGGAAATATAGTGAAGGCCGTCATCTACCGGGCTCCTTCACCAGCAAGTTCTGAAGATAATTGTAAGTTATTGTTGGAGATGAACCCTCGCATTGTCTTAGAGACATGGTGCTATATAGCCATACTGGCTTAAAACATTTTATCCTGGGTTCGATCCCAGGCGCCAGCGAGAAACAAAGGGTGAAAGAAACTCTGCCCAATGTCCCTGTTACCTAGCAGTAAAATAGGTATCTGGGTGTTAGTCAGCTGTCACGGGCTGCTTCCTGGGGGGTGGAGGCCTGGTCGAGGACCGAGCCGCGGGGACACTAAAAAAGCCCCGAAATCATCTCAAGATAACCTCAAGATAAGAAGATAGTGAAGTAGCGGTTATGATTTTAGTTGCAAAGATGCTTGAAACATAATGAGAAAATTGTAATAACTTGAAGTGAAGATATTTTTGAGCACTGTGTTAATTATTATGAAACTGAGTGTGAAAAGTCTTCTGAGCTGATGAGACAATGATTATGAGTTTGATGGTGCAAGTGTTTGTGAGTTAATGGTTATAATTCTGATCGTAACGATGATGTTATTGAGTTTTTGTGATAACTGTTATGATGTGATTAATGAAGGTGTATGTGAGTACTGTGTTAACTCTTATGGTTTATGAAGTGAAGATGTTTGTGAGTACAATATATGATTTGTATTTATCATTCTGTGTTAGTACTGTTATCGTTTGTGAGTCACAGGTTAATGTTTGTGAATTAACGTGGTCAAAGTTTGTGAGTGTTTTTTGTAATGGTATTTGTGAGTTATTGAAGTAATAATGTTTGTAAATTTCTGTAGTAATTGTTATGAGTTTGGTTGAAAGATATAAGTAATTTAATGAGCTACTGGTTATGAGTTTAGAGTGAAAAATGGTTTGCGAGTTAGTGCAGTAAATATTACTATTTTTGTAGTGAAGATAGTTCTGAATAAATGTGATAATTATTATGAAGTAGTAAGATAATTAGTTGTAAGTACTGCATAGATGCTTATGATTTTGAAAAGTGAAGATCTTCATGAGTTATTGGTGTAATTATTATGTGGTTTGGTAGTGAGGATGTTTGAGAAGTTTTGAAGTTAGGATTATGAGATTATGACCCACACATCATCTGACAACATATATAAAACGAGCCACGACATTTCAGTTGTACTTTAGCTGCGGGGCCCCGACACAGAATTCTTGGCTGTTATTGTTGTTGTTTTTGATTCAGCTCCTCGGAATAGAAAGTTGCAAGTAGCACGGGCTGTGGTGAACCCGTAGTGGATTTACCTGCCACCTTATGGTCAATCCTGGTCTTGTCTCTTGCTCACTAGCAACTTATAGCAATTTGTAATCATTCTACAGCTCTTTTTTTTTTACTTGCATGATTGATATGTTATGATTTTTTATTATTATTATTATTTTAATGGTTGAAAAATAAATGTAGATAATTTATTACAGATATTTAGGTACTGAACATTTAAGACATTTAAGACTGGACCACATTTAAGTTATGTGGTTTCATTGTGATATATTTTTTTATTTTAATATTATTTTGAATATGTGAATTTTTGGGGAGGACGATATCCAAGCGCTATTCACGCAGACATCAAAGCAGCCTCGACTAGAGTACGACCCGTTACTGCAGAGGAGTTATAGTTCCCAGCTCCGGGGAGCCTGCATGTCAAGGCAGAGATAGTCATTTGTGAATAGCAACAGATATAGCCCTGTGACTGTCATGTGTGTGTAGCAGACACTAGCCTCTGGCAGTAGCAGGCATATACCAGCCCGGTAGAAAGTCATATGTGATGGAACACACCATCCCAGTGGTAGTAACAGTCGTATGTGTGTAGATGAAAACCGGCTCAGTTGCCACATGTGTGTGTGTGTTCCTCTGATGTTTGTGCTCCCATCAGCTGTGACTGCTTCATTTCTAGTAATGGCACTCTCTTCCCCCGAATTCATATTATGTATACAGAGCTGATTTTCACAAGAGAAAAGACACACCCATCAACTGAGGCGGCTAATTATTCTTTCCACAAAGACGTGAACGGAGAGAGAGAGAGAGAAAAAAGATAGTAATGAGAGAGAGTAAGAAGGATAAATGAGAAAAAGAGGGATACATGAGAAAAAGATGAAAGAGCGAAAGGTGTGCGTATGCATGTATTTATTATTTGTTCCTGCAGAATCGTGTTCTTAGCTCTTGGACCCCGCCTTCCTAACCAATCTATTTTTCTGCATTGCACTGTCCTTTGGGTTGTATTTTGTTACTGCAATAAACTTACTTGAACATTAATCTGCCTCTGTTGCATGAAGTTCATATATTGACACTGCAAGTGTAAGTGTTGCAATGACAGGGTCAGTGTTGCAGTGGTGCAATATCAGGGGTCAGTGGTGCAATGAGAGTGCCAGTGGTGCAGTGACCGTAGCTGGACTGGAATGGTAGTGCCAGAATTTAAGTTATGGTGCCATATCTGCCACTCAAGGGTTAGACTAGCAACGCAAGTGGCGGTGCTTCAGTGATAGCGGCAGCGTTGGAATAGCAGTTTCAGTGTTTGAATGGCAGTTGCAGTGTTGCATGGACAGTGATACAACGGAGGAGGGCGAGTGTAGATGTTGCATAATCACTGTTACAAGGATATGGAGAGGAAATGGTCAGGCTTGGTGCCAGACCTTCACGCCTGACGCCCACAGGAAGTCTGAGAGTACTTTCATTCTTACTTTAACTCTCACACTCATCATTCTGGGAAAAATATACCAGTATGTGAGAGGAGTATTGTTTATTATTATTATTATTATTTTAGTAATGGTAATGTCTTCTCATAGATAAAATAACATAGGGAAAAACCCTCAGAATTTTGTTTAATAATTGTGGCAAGATAGTGGACAGGAATGTTAGCAATTTCTCGGCGAAGGAACTAATTTGTGAGTTGCAGAGCGTTAGATAATATCTTTGACGTTTGCTCGACTGTCCACAAATGTCTGTGGAGGGTAGAAATAGCCTGAGATACTCTATCCTTTTGAAATGAATTTTATTGTTTCAATAAACGTACTTGAACTTGAATCTTCAAACGTCAAAATTTGCTGGCGTCTTTATCTACAAAATCCTTCACATAAGACCATTACAAAATAATACATGTAGCTGCAGAAAGGCTATTGACCCATGAAAGATAGTTGCTATTTATACCTAACCAAAATATATATATATATATATATATATATATATATATATATATATATATACTTTATCAACTAAAAGCGAGATATAAATAGAGTGCGGGAGGGATTTTCATATTTTTTATCAATTCCAATATAATTCTTTGTCGTTTAATATAATGTGAGTTTCTCAGTCTTTATTCACACAACTGACATGTATTCATGAGTAAGGCATATGTATTCTTGGATGTAAAACACGTATCCAAGTCGAGGACACATGTATCCTAGGCTAGGAAACACGTAGGTTATCTCTAGAATAGAAAAAAAAACTGTTTTCACGTTTTTAGTAATTGTTTCAGAACTTCTTAACTACTGAGAGAATAGATATGACTCAATATTGCTCTGTTGATGTCTTGCTGATCACTGTAGACATTTGGATGAGGGTGACACAGGTAAACGCCTTCATCTTAAGAGCTGTAGGGATTTACTCATTTAATTCCTTGGGGCCTGATTAGATCCTTCTCCATCTGTACACGTTTTCTCATGTCAGACAGATCAGGGAGGGGGATGGTAGAGGAAGGAAGCGGAGGAGAGATGGAAGAAAACAAGAATAATATTAACTCAACAGACTTAGTTACTCTCTTTTTATGAGAGTATTTTTATGCACCTTTAAGAGCATAAAAATGCTCCTTTATGCTCCTTTTAGGAGCATAAAAAGCAGTTTTAACTTCATTAAACGTTTTTTACGCATTTTTATGCAATGGAGAATTTTATGCTCTTTTAAACATAACAATAATAATAATAATAATATTATTATTATTATTACACAGAGTATTCACTCTAATGTCTGTATCGATGAAAAAATCCATATGAGCCTTGGTGAGGATTCGAACCAATGCGGTGGGAGTTCTCACACGCTCTAGCGATTACACAATGACATGGTATAAGGATTGCAACCTGGAGTTCTACTGAACACACAAGGGTGTTCAATAAAACTCCAGGTTGTAATCCTTTTACCATGTCGTGGGCCTATATTTGCCTGGGGCGTGTGTGCCTGGAAATACTCAGAGCATAGGTTCGAATCCTCTTCACAGCTTCAACGGATTTTCTCAATAATAATAATAATATTATTATTATTATTAAAAATGTTTCGATTTCAATAAGATTTTTATTTAACAACTTTCTGATGTAATGACGGAGTTATTAGGTCAGCTTGGGGTGATCGTCTCTCTTAGGTAATGATTTGGTGAGAATTTCCGAGGGTGGATCTAGTTTTGTCCAGTGGCCAATCAACTAGGAAATTGGTCAAGACCTGTTTCTGTCAAGGCCAGCTGGAGAGGGCGGTCCTTCGCTCCCTACCCGGAGTCAACTACAGACTACGACCCCGGCTAGGAGGGGGGAATGGGGGATGGGGGATGGGGGCATGTATACATATATATACCAGCCCAAGCACACACCCGACACACACAACCAGACCAATCCTTCGAGATGAAGCTTGTAAGTTAAGACGTGTGAATAGCAGTTATATTGAGACGTCAGCTTAGTTTTCCAGTTTTGCTGGTCGTATCAAGTTTTAAGTTGTATGATAATGTCGACTGGGCTTTATTTAGTGATACGTATGGCTGTTGACTCAATAGTGTTCATTATTATTTGACTGTTGATTGGACAGTGATAATTGTTGCTTGACTGTGACTTGAGAGTGATAATTGTTACTTGCAGTGACTCAGTACTGAAAATCGTCGAACGATTCCTAACGATAGATATCAGTAGTGCCTTGTTCCTGGGGATCTTAATATTACATTTTTTTTAGAGCAAAGTTTCACCTTTAAGTTATTTTACAGGTAAATGTGTGATAGAAAGAAAGCAAATCTAGCATTAATGAAGTGAGAGTTTTTCCTTGAATGTGTGAGTCTGTTCCATGTAGTGTGTGAGTGTTCCACCGTGCTGTAGAATATGGTGTAAGATGGTGTTGTTGTTCCTCCTGTAGACGCCGTTCCTGCTGGTGCTCCTGCTGGGGGTGTCCGCCGTCCTCGCCAGCCCCGCCCCTCACAAGTTTAAGAAGGGCGGCTTTGGCGGAGGCGGCTTTGCCTACGCTCCTGTGAAAGTGATTCCGGTCCACTACCCGGTCTACGGCGGCTACGGCGGCTACGGCGGCGGCTACGGCGGCGGCTACGGCGGCGGCTTTGGCGGCGGCTACGGTGGCGGCTTTGGCGGCGGCTACGGAGGCGGCTTTGGTGGCGGTTACGGCGGTGGTTTCGGCCATGGCGGCTTCGGCGGTGGCGGCTTGTACGGTGGCGGTCACTATGGAGGGTATGGCTATGGAAAGTAGATTGGCCAAGATTCTATGGGCACTGAGTGCCCGCGCTGGACCCATAGACACTCGCCAGAGTTCCATCCATTGTCACTCATCTTAAGTTTCACCTTATGGTAGGAGTCATTATCATGTGGGCTGTCTCGTCAATATAAATATGAAAGACTATCAGTTGTATCTTTAATTTACCAAGGTTGATATTTCTATTGTAAACAATGTTGATGTCTCTCTCTCTTTCTCCCCATATCTCTCCCTCCATTCTCTCTCTCTCTCTCTCTCTCTCTCTCTCTCTCTCTCTCTCTCTCTCTCTCTCTCTCTCTCTCTCTCTCTCTCTCTCTCCTACATTCTGAATGAGAGGGAAACAATGCAACCGAAATAATGCACTGTATCTAGACCGTCTAACAGAGAAACAAAGCTGGTTTGTGTGTATTTTCCAACATCTATAATATGCATAACCTGCTCCCCCCCCACCTCCCCTTCCCTGGCGTGACTACCGAAATCTCCCTCAAGAATAAGCTATTACACAAGAGGTGCCACAAGAGACTCTGTTAAAACTTCACTCCATACGAAAAGAGTAATCTTGATGCTCGTGTCATGAGAAATGTACATTATTACATGGGGTATTTTTTACCCCCGAGGCTGGCAAGGCACCCACGAGGCTGGCAAGGCACCCACGAGGCTGGCAAGGCACCCACGAGGCTGGCAAGGCACCCACGAGGCTGGCCTGGCAAGGCACCCATGACAAGAACACACAAGCCTCAAGACTACTTGAGAACATAGATTAATATTGGACACACAATATGGCTTTAGAAAGGACCGAACATGTTTGACGAATTTCCTGTGTACAGTTGGGTTCATTCTCGACCCACAATCGAGAACTCCGGATTCGAATCTCGGTCGAGAACCCCGGATACTTTCACCTAATGCCTCTGTTCACCTAGCAGTGACTAGATACTCAGGAGTTAGCCAGCTTGTTGTGGGGTTGCATCCTGGACGGGGTTAGTAATTCGGCTTAGGGGGGGGGGTGCCCTCGATAAAAGCCAAACGTGTATGAATATACACTGGCTTCCTGTCCCCAGACACAATTAATAATTATTATATTATTATTATATATTTTTCCAATATTTTGAGACACTTGATAGTAAAACTGATGCGTTGTATACCTTGACTTCAGCAAGGTATACAACCTTGCTGAAGTCAAATAAGTTTTCGTGCCTCACGAAAAACTTATTTGCATGGTAGAGGTTCACGGTATTGGTGGAGCTGCGCTAAGTTATATAAGAACATGGTTATATCAAAGGACACAAAGAGTTAGTATAAATGTTGCTAAACAAGAGCGGAAGGCCGTTGAAAGTGGAATGCCCGAGCTCTATGCTGGGACCTTTGTTGTTTCTCACGTATATATAAACGATTTAGATACCGGGTTGAGCAGCAATATTCGTGAATTTGTGGACGATACAAAAAATAAGCCAGGTAATAAATTCAGTAAAAGACACAAAATTGCTTTAAGACGGTCTAGTTTGGCTTTAGAAATGAACGGAAGTTTGGCAGATACAGTTTAATGCTGACAAATGTAGGGTTCTAAGGCTATGTAGCCCTAATGAAGTTGTCAGCTTGAAAGTGCTCAACATTGCAAAGTTTGATTGCAAACGAGATCTGGGAGTCATAATTAGTATGAATCCAAAACCAGAAAATTAATGCATAAATGTTTGAAATAAAACAAATGTGATATTGGGACATTTCTACAAGTTAGAAATAAAATCACTTGGCATTATTCTTCAACTATATCTTTCTCTTGTTATGCCCCATTTAGATTATGCAATTAAATTTTGATCGTCTTACTTTAGAATGATCATAAATTCACAGGAACAAGTTCAGAGAAGTATGACAAAGTTAATCCTAGATATTAGATACCTTCCATATAAAGAACGTTTAAGAAAAAGCTTAATTTACATTCCCTAACCTTTAGGCTGCACCACTGACTGATAATTCCATGCAATATTCAGGTCTGCATGAAATAAAATAATATCTAAACTTTGTTTTTTCTTCTAATATTGTTAAAATACATTTTCTGGTGAAGGAAAAAATAATAAAAAAATTGTATGTGACTTATTTTGGCCGTGGTAAAGCCTTAAAGTCTGGCGATGACGTTACGAATCATAAGGCTGATCCTGTCAGCGTCCCGGGCTTCCGTCTGGCGGGAGTTGCCGTCACTATATTTTTGGTTATATATTTATTTCATTATTTCTGATTGGCTTGTCTCTGTCTTTTTTTTTTCCTTTTTTTATGCAGTCGTGATATTCAATAGTGTGTCTTTTGAGAAATTTATACAATAAAATTCTGGAACATCCATATATTCATATCACTAAGATGCGCCGATATTATTTGCTTAGAACAATACAACATTCTATTTCTGGTGTTATTATACTGTATACACACATTATATGTAACTATGTACCATCATGAACGACCAAGCAGTTGTGGTGGACATGACAACGACATACAAGGTCATCATAGTACCCCACCCACTACCACCAGACTGTCTGCACACGCCGCAAAATGTGTCACAATATACTACTCACATCGTTAATTATAAGCACAATGTTGCTATTATTATCAGCATTCTAATAACTATAGTGTGTAATTTTATCAATTTTATATAATAAAATATTGGGTATATAAAATATAATTTTATATAGCCAATATGAGCCACATGTCCCCAGGGAAGAGGGGTTAAAATCTAACACTCTACTCTAATACTTCATATGACGGGATGCACCCTTGTGCGAGTGACAATCATCTTGGATCAATTGATTATCTTAAGTCAATCAAGACATAAGTGGGCGGATATGAACAGAAGCCGCTTCATACGAGCCAATTGGCCTTCTGTAGTTTCCTTCATTATAATGTTCTTAAGTACAAGTCTCCCGCAGTGTAAAGAACTACGTTACTTTGTAAAACAAAAACCACTGAGCTCGCTAATTTATTTCCATTATTTATAGAGATTTGTGTAAATATTTTACTCAATATTAGTATGTTTAAACGGATATAATAATAAAGGTAAAGAAACAACTTTGTATTCCTTGTTCATAAGAGCTTTTAGGGTTACTTAATTGGAATTCGTTGAGGCTAAATTAGGGAACTTATAATCACTTTGCAGCTCCCTCTTTTTATTTCTATATTTATTTTTCTTAAGAAGAAAAACATTAAAGTATCAATAATAATATTATGGTTATCAAAACTAAAAAATTATCTAATTTTCTCTTAATTCGGAAGAAATATGTAGAAATGATGGATCCCCATATATATATATATATATATATATATATATATATATATATATATATATATATATAATATGCGAACAAGCCTGAATGGTTCCCAGGACTATATGCAACTGAAAACTCGCACCCCAGAATTTATATAATGATAATATATATAATATTTATATTGAAAGTTTATATAGCCCTCGACTATGTTCGGGGATTACAATATTCTTCCTGTTATTTAATCTTAGTATGATTATATCACGGCCTTAAAGACCAATTTAATCTTCAACTCATTCTGTCAAAATCTTTAAAATACCCAATTAGAAACAAGCGATTAGCAACACTTCAACCCATAACACACTTTTAATTACGAGTAGCACAGACAGTTATGTTAAGTAATTTAGAATATCCCACGTTAAGGATGCAAACCTGTTCGCATTGGACAAACGGAAGTCCGCATAAAAGCCTTATAAATATTCAGATAGACACGGCTAGAGTTCAAATGCATTATTTGTCCATGTTATGGATTACTCATACTTTTACTCGTTCTGTTAATCCTCTTTTTACTCGTCGCTTTTAATCGTCCCATTACTTGTTCCATTAATCGCTCTGTTTCTCATACTATTCACATTTGTAATGTATGAATAATTGCTTGGTGAACCAGTGTAAAATGAATTGTGAATGTTTATACATATGGCAACCCGAAGTGATGTATATATATATATATATATATATATATATATATATATATATATATATATATATATATATATATATATTTATTATGTACACCCACAGTTGGGTCAGACGGTATATGAGAGAGAAAGAGAGCTAAACATATTTAATTTTTGTAAACATTAATTTGTAAACATTAATTTGTAAACGTTGGACAAAAAAATAGTCGTAAGTAGACACTGAATCTTTTAATATTTTAAATATATATACATACAAAATTGATATGGACAGTGTTGGCAAACAGTATCAGGTGAATGAAGAAAGTGAACTATCAGGGGAAAACCGCCAAGCCATCACGACTATATAGCACGTGGAAGGGATTAGGATAAGGATTTGGGATGGGATGGGGGGAAGGAATGGTGCCCAACCACTTGGACCGTCGGGGGGATTGAACGCCGACCTGCATGAACCGAGACCGTCGCTCTACCGTCCAACCCAAGTGGTTGGGCGTAATAACGAATAAAATTAATGACAGGTGGTACAGGTATAGGTTAAGCCGCAATACTCTTCGACAATGTTAGGTCTCTGAATCTACCGCCCATAGCCATACCCTCCGTAATGGCCTCCGCCATACAAGCCGCCGAAGCCGCCTTTATACCCGCCGAAGCCGCCGCCGAAGCCGCCACCGTAGCCGCCACCGTAGCCGCCGCCGTAGCCGCCGCCGTAGCCACCGACGTAGACCGGGTAGTGGACAGGAATAATTTTCACAGGAGCGTAACCAAAGCCGCGCCTACCAAAGCCGCCCTTCTTAAACTTGTGAGGGGCGGGGCTGGCGAGGACGGCGGTGACGGCCAGCAGGAGCACCAGCAGGAACGGCGTCTACAGGAGGAACAACAACACCATCTTACGCCACATGTATAGTTATATATATATATAATATGTGTGTGTATATCACGAAAGTAAACACGTGATTAAAAATGTGACAGTTTCAGACCACGGAGGAAAATTGAAACAGGAATTTCCTTAAGTACTTTCGTATATTAATACATATAAACTCCTTCTGAAGATGTATTAATATACGAAAGTACTAAAGGAAATTCCTGTTTCAATTTTCCTCCGTGGTCTGACACTGTCATATATATATATATATATATATATATATATATATATATATATATATATATATATATATATATATATATATATATATATATATATATATATATAATATTGATTTATGTCTTTCGTTCTCTATTTTCCTGGAAATCATTTAACATCAAAGATGTCATAGAGTAGAGGATACTCACAAACTTCATGTTGGTGAGTTGGTGATTGACTGTGTCCTCTCCAGTAGCGCTCCTCTTATATATACAGCAACTTGATCAGCACTGTCAATTGCAGAATTTTACTTTAAAGCGCCTCTGTAAAGTTTATTGTCATCGGTCATGAACAGTCACTTGAGAAAAAGTTGCCCAAGTTTACTTCTGGGTCAGACCGTTTTAGAAAAACTTGACAAAGTTCCTGAGGTCTATTTTTTTCTTTTTTGGCTCCTTGATCTTGAGTGTCTTAGTTCACCTTCGTGTTCATGGTGTTAGCAGCCCATGTTCACTACTGTGTGTCCTGGGACGTGACAAGTTCACTTTCTCACAGTCGGGGAGGAAGAACGAGGATGAGCAAAAGATCTGTGTTGGTCAGAGAACAGCACAGAGGACAATGATTTCAAGAACATCAAGAACATCTGCAAAGAAAGTATTACTCTCACTCACACAAGAGCACATACACACACATACACGTATTGTGTGTATTCACCTAGTTGCGTTTGCGGGGGTTGAGCTTTGCTCTTTCGGCCCGCCTCTCAACTGTTAATCAATTGGTGTACAGATTCTGGAGCCTATTGGCCCTATCAAACTCCCAACTTTTATGCTTCTGACTATTTTCTCACTCGGGATTAAGAAGAGCAATCAAGTTACCGACGTTGCTGGTAAAGAAACTCTAAGGATTATTGAAGGGTATATTTTCCAAAGCGTTTCGTTCCATTCTTGAAATATCTTCAGGTAAGGAATGAAGAATGTAAGTGTGTACTCACCTAGTTGTGTTTCGGGGATTGAGCTCTGTTTCGTTGGTTCTCTGTGTGTGGATTCATCTAGTTTTATTCACCTAGATGTTCTTGCAGGGGTTGAGCTCTGCTCTTTCGGCCCGTCTCTCAACTGTTAATCAATGAACTGTAACTACTAATTTATTTATTTTTACACACACACACACACACACACACACACACACACACACACACACACACACACACACACACACACACACACCAGGTACCTATTTACTGCTAGGGAACATTGACCTCAGGGTGAAAGAAACTGTGCCCATTTGTTTTTGCCTGTTCCTGGAATCGAACCCGGGCCACAGAATTACGAGTCCTGCGCGCTGTCCTCTCAGCTATCAGACCCCCAGTGTGTGTGTGTGTGTGTGTGTGTGTGTGTGTGTGTGTGTGTGTGTGTGTGTGTGTGTGTGTGCAAAAAAGATAAAAAATACCATAAATCCAGAGAAATCATAAAGTTATGATATTTCTCATACTATTCAAGACAGGTGTGAGGCCATATACGCAGAAGTTGTGGTCGATGGGCGGCCCACCTTCGGAATTCAATAGAAATTCATCGCTAAAAAAAATCCTTTTTGAGACGGGCCTCGAAGAAACCGATATGGGAATTTGAGCATGCATGTGTGGTTGTGTATACATGTAGGTATGTGTGTGGGTGGGTTGTGTATACATATTGATATGTATACTTGGACAGCAGGCGTTCCTTTAAGCATATTTAGTTAAATATAACCATATTCCTGGCGTTGTAACGTACCACTGGAACACCGTTGCTACCATTGTAACCCTAGCTCCACAGTCCCGCCTTGGTGTGTGATTCCCCCAAGTGTCACGTGTACAATGATAACCAAGAGTCACGTGTACAGTGATCACCAAGAGTCACGTGTACAGTGATAACCAAGAGTCACGTGTACAATGATAACCAAGAGTCACGTGTACAGTGATAACCAAGAGTCACGTGTACAGTGATCACTGCTGATATCACATTTGCTGTTTGGTGAGTGTTGTATTGTTTATTGGGGCTGTTCTTAACTATTAAATCAGCAGTTCTTTTTGTTTTGTGGTAAATAATGAATTCCAATCGTTGGTCTGGGGCTGTCGATTTCACTCCATTTGAAATTATATTTTTAACTATTCATTGATCAGTTTTGTATTGTGAGCTCATTGTGGATTTGTAATAGAGATCTTACAAACTCGATTACAGACACTTCCATAAAACAACCACTCACATAAAACTCTATTGCAAATCTACAATGAGCTCACTGTTGTCGGGCTCAGATGTGTGGAAGGATGTGCCAGGGAGGATAGTGTTCAGAGCAGAGATATGCCCGACACAAATGTCAGAGTCTCAGACAGAGCAAGTTAGAGAGAAACATAGACGAAATGTAAAGTTTTCTCACAAGAAAACTGTATCATATGAATAATCGATATATTTTATTCAACATATATATTTTTTATCACAACTCTCACGCTCCCTATTCCACTCTTTCTCTCTCTCTCTCTCTCTCTCTCTCTCTCTCTCTCTCTCTCTCTCTCTCTCTCTCTCTCTCTCTCTCTCTCTCTCTCTCTCTCTCCACCATTTTCTCTTTCATCCTATTTATTTCCCTCTATCTTTCTCTATCTTTTTTATCTCACTCTCAACATCTCTCTTTGCCCTATCCACCACTTTCTCCGTGTCCACATTTCTCTCCCTATTTATCTCTCTTCTTATCCATCCTCTATCTCTATCTTCTTATCCATCCACTCCCTCTATCTCTCTTTCTCTCTGTCCCCCTCCTACCTACTACGTTACTACCCATATATCCTTATCCAAATACATTCTCTTCTCCATATTCATCTCTTCTTACCCATATCTCTCCTTCTGTGAATACGCGCGCGCGCGCGTGTGTGTGTGTGTGTGTGTGTGTTTAATATATCCAGACACACCCCGGTGTGGCAAAAACCAGAGGAGGAAATGTCTGGTGACGTGGTCAACTAGCCGCCTACGAGCTTCAGGAAGCATTAGGCGCCACTTCTAGTTTCAAGGTTTCTGCTCTCATCAACGATACATTAGCTAATTCTGTCCGTCTGAGGCACGACGGAACATGGTACGACTAATGCTTAAGGGAGTTTGAGGAACATTGTGATAATTATAACATCAATAGAGTGATTATATAGCACAGATTATGTCTGTGAAAGGCTTCTATATATGTGTGACGGGAGAGACCTGAATGTAACACAAGTATCTTAACTCTGGGCCACACATGACATGAATTTTGTGTAGCAGGAAGTGATGCAAGTGTTAAAACTCTATTAAATGTGTCAATTTATAATATCTCTGGCTAAGTCTAGCATTATGACTGCTATTATCGTACCAATCACACATCTTTGGGGGCTGGCTGGCTGAGTGGAAAAACAAATGGGTACAGTTTCCTTTAACCTGATGCACCTGTTACCTTGCAGTAAATAGGTACCTGGGAGTTAGACAGCTGCTACGAGCTGCTTTCTCTATGTGTGTGTGTGTGTGTGTTAGAGATGTATATAGTAGACATAGGGGAGAATTAAATTGATTAGAAAGGCGTGGTCCAAGAGCTAGTAGCTCGATTCTGCAGATACAAATCGTCAATACATCTCTCAAACTAATTTGGTAACTTACATATTTATTTTATCACTGACGTCTTCATTGCAAATTAAAAAAAAAGTTTTAATTCACTAGAATGCTTCGAGCTGGTGAACCCGAGCGTCAAAACCAGTTTTTATTAAACGTACATAAGCCACAACTAAGTTTGGACGAACACGTTTTTGTAATTTTTACTTGACAAGGATTTCTTCTGCCCTAAATAATGTCCTTGAAATTCCATCACAAGTGAACTTCTTGAGTCGATATCCCCGGTCAGGTAGACAGTATATATATCTGGCGAGCGGAGAGGCCGGCACACAAGCATCCCAAACCTCCAAGATGAAGTTTGTAAGTTAGCCTATGATTCCCTTACCTGAAGATGGAGATATCTGTGGAAAGAGTCAGGATTCACAGTGTACAATGACCATACAATTGCTCGCTTTCTGATATGATTTAGCATTAGGAATTAACGACTACATAGTTACTATGCTTGCATGTTGTTTTTAAGAATATAAGGATCACAAAAGGCCTTCGGCAAATGGAAAATATTTGTTGTTGTTCCTCCTGTAGACGCCGTTCCTGCTGGTGCTCCTGCTGGCCGTCACCGCCGCCCTCGCCAGCCCCGACCCTCACAAGTTTAAGAAGGGCGGCTTTGGTAGGCGCGGCTTTGGATACGCTCCTGTGAAAGTTATTCCTGTCCACTACCCGGTCTACGTCGGCGGCTACGGCGGCGGCTATGGTGGTGGCTTTGGCGGCGGCTACGGTGGTGGCTTTGGTGGCGGCTTCGGCGGGTATAAAGGCGGCTTCGGCGGCGGCTTCGGAGGCTTGTACGGCGGAGGCCACTACGGAGGCTACGGCTACGGACGGTAGACTCAGAGGAAGAGAGTCCATGCCTCTTCTCAGGGTATTGCTGTTGAGTGTCTGGATGGTGTGAGACTAGCCTCCAGGGATGTTAACGCTGGCGTTATTGTTCCACCTTCTCTGACTCATTTTCATATTCACTTTCATATTCTTTGAAGAACTTTCTCGGCATCAATATTATAGTGTAAATACATTTCACAAACTCTAAGCACGTGTTCTAAGTTTAATTTACCAAAGCTTTACTATAGTTTTTCCTTTGTAAAAAACATGTATTACCTGGTCTAAATGAGTTATCTCTCGTTTTCCTTTGAGATTAACAGTGTTACAGAAGAGCATATGACTGTAATGACTCTGTTGGAAGATTTATTGACCCAGCCGAGGCAGCTGCTCCCAATATCCATCCACTGTTATGCATGAGCTTATCCATCAACTCTCGCTTATGTAATTATCCAACCAAGCTCCTGAAGGTATGTATATAGGCATATCTCCTGCATATGTGTGTATCCAACCACACGTACACACGGGGTGTATTCAATCACACCTACACATGTGTGTATTCAACCACACCTACACACGGGGTGTATTCAACCACACCTACACATGTGTGTATTCAACCACACCTACACATGTGTGTATTCAACCACACCTACACATGTGTGTATTCAACCACACCTACACATGGGGTGTATTCAACCACACCTACACATGGGGTGTATTCAACCACACCTGAACATGGGGTGTATTCAACCACACCTACACATGTGTGCATATTCAACCCATGCTTGAAACTTCGCGGTGAGTTTGTTTCTGTGATGTTACTTGTTCCTGAGATCTGTAGCCAGATTTTCGAACCAATGTTTACCTATTTATTTACACAATCAAAACTTGAATAGTTGGATTACATTATTTCTTGTTCAGTGTCACACATCATACTAGACAGTGTCACCTTTAGAACCTTTTCGCACCTTTTCCTTCTCTCTCTCTCTCTCTCTCTCTCTCTCTCTCTCTCTCTCTCTCTCTCTCTCTCTCTCTCTCTCTCTCTCTCTCTCTCTCTCTCTCTCTCTCTCTCTCTCTCTCTCTCCATAATATATGACAATTTAAGGTGTCTTTGCTCTCCCTCTCACTCCCTCTCATCAGTTTGAGCTCTTTCCTCCCATTCATTATCTCGTATATTGCTTCCCTTTGTATTTGTCGCAATATTCCTTTATCCTCTCCTTCGCTGCCTTTTCAATTTCATTATTCCGCTTGTTGTCTGATCGAATTTTTACACCCTTGTCGTTCGCAGCTTTAAGCAATTCTCCTTGTAACCTGTTGGGAAGTGGTGAAGCCCTTGTTTGATGACATGTTCGGTACTGGTGGTTGTCAAGCTTTTGTGTGATAGCAGCTATCAGAAAGGAAAGATGGAAATCCAATCGATGGAGGAAATTATCAAGGGGAAAGCGCCAAGCCATTAGGAATATATAGCACTTGGAAGGGGTTAGAATAAGGATCTGGGATGTGATGGGGGAAAAGGAATGGTGCCCAACCACTTGGACGGTCAGGGATTGAACGCCAACTTGCATGAAGCGAGACCGTCACTCTACCGTCCAGCCCAAGTGTTTTTTCCAGTTGAAAAGAGAAGAACCCTTTTATGCTGTACTCACCTAGTTCTCACCTAGTTGTGTTTGCGGGGGTTGAGCTCTGGCTCTTTGGTCCCGCCTCTCAACCGTCAATCAACAGGTGTACGGTTCTTGAGCCTCCTGTGTGTGTGTGTGTGTATGTGTGCGTGCGTGCGTGCGTGTGTGTGTGTGTTAACTTAGCAAGGACTTAAACCAGTCTTCTGTTTCTCGCTTGTCCACACCACAAGGAGTGTGTGTTCCCTCTACAGCGTGTCACCTTGAGTGAAGTCTTCCTGCAATGTGATGTCATGATTCCAGACATCAGTGTATGATCGCGGAGAGTTCTGACAGCAATAAATCTATACGGATGACGTCACGGGTCAGCTACCCAGCACCCACTCACGCTGAACTCACACATTCCTCATCAAAATACCCCCTAATAAGATTTCGACCAGTGCAGAGCTTAAGTATTGACAAGACTTACGAAGCAATTCTCAGCAGTCAGTGGCAGGTGTCGTGTTGAAGCTCCTGGTCAAGATGTGACGCACAGAATTTTGGGGGAGGCAATAGATGACGCAAGGAAGCAGAGACGCAAGGAAGCAGAGCGGTTTTTGGGAGGACTGTTGCGGTTATTGCTTCTTCAGGAATGTGGGAGGCATGCGAGGAATAAGCTCTTAAACCGGTGTGTTTTATTAATAATGGCATGATATATACTTGTGTAATTTGAGCTTGGCGGAGAGGTGTGTGAGGTCATACGCACCCACACACACGCATACATGATCACACACACACACACACACACACGCACACACACACACACACACACACACACACACACACACGCACACACACACACACACACACACACACACACACACACACACACACACACACACACACACACAGTGAATTGATAGGGTAGATAAAGACAGGCTATTTAACACAAGGGGCACACGCACTAGGGGACACAGGTGGAAACTGAGCGCCCAAATGTGCCACAGAGATATTAGAAAGAACTTTTTTAGTGTCAGTGTGGTTGACAAATGGAATGCATTAGGAAGTGATGTGGTGGAGGCTGACTCCATACACAGTTTCAAGTGCAGATATGATAGAACCCAGTAGGCTCAGGAACCTGTACACCAGTTGACGGTTAAGAGGCGGGACCAAAGAGCCAGAGGTCAACCCCCGCAAGCACAACTAGGTAAGTACACACACACACACACGCTCATGGGGCCTCGCGGCAGAGTAGACGTCGCTCGGGGGTCGTAGTCCTGTGGTTCAATGTCAGGCCGAGGCGGGAACAAATTGGCAGTTTCTTTCAAACTGATACCCCTGTTCACCTAGCAGTTAATAGGTACCTGGCAGTTAGACAGCTACTACGGGCTACTTCCTGGTGATGTGTGTGTTAGAAATACGTAGTAGAGATTGAGAAAAATATGTTTGAATTAACTCAGTACATTAGGCAACCAAAGGTTTGAAAGGCGGGGTCCAGGAGCTAACAGTTTTAGGCTGCAGGTCCAAATTGTAAATACAAATAGTAAATTTGTCATTGGAAGACAAATGAGTTAGGGGAGACAAGATAACCACATACAAAATTTTAAGAGAAATTGATAGGGTTGAAAAGGATTATTTAGCATGGGTGGCACTCGAGCAGCGGGACACAGGTGGAAACTTAATACCCCAATGAGCCACATAGTGATTAAAACAGAATTTCCCTTGTGTCAGTTCTTATAAATATTAGTGTACAGGGAAGTGATGTTGTGGCAGCAGACTCCATAGGCAGCTTCAAGTGTAGATATAATATAGCCCAATACGCTCAGACCTTGCAGTACACCAGTTGATTGACAGTTGAGAGGCAGGACCAAATAGCCGAAGCTCAACACCTCCTCAAGCGCAATTATGTGAATACAATTAGAAGAGTACAAAACTACAATGGAAATCTAACAGGATAATTGGACAGATCGAGCCTTCCTCGATGGTACGAAAATACTATTTGTTAACTATCCCATACACATGGCTCCCACACATGCTTGAGAAGTACACTGGTGCCCCGGTTAGTGTCAAGTTCTATGATGGATTATCTCTCAGGATATAATGAGAGTGGAGATGCTAAAGTGGACAGAGAGAGAGAGAGAGAGATGATGAGTGGAGTACCACAAGGGTCGGTACTCATCCATATCCTTTTCAAAGTCTTATAACAAAACAAAGTGACTCAGTATCAATGTTCGCTGATAATACAGACTATTAAGAATCGAAACAGACAAAGACTGCGGTAACTTGCAAGGTGAACTTAACACACTTCAGTGGGGGCCTGAAACATGGCTACTGGACTTCAGACCAGGCAAATACAAAGTTTTCAGGGCAGGAAATGCAGTGAAAAGACCCTTACAACAGTATATAAAGAATGAGAAACAAACTCCTACATCAACCAAACGCGAGAAGACCAGTGTGTAAACATAACCCTAAACCCACCATAATTCAAAACGTTAACTTTCAGGAATTTGACCATAGTATAGTTTTCCAAACGAAATAATCAACCTACTTGAAATTCAATTCACAGTAAGCATCCCAGAAGGAACCACAAAGTAAAGCAACAGAGTGTAGCTTGACCTGCCCTTCTTCCCTAAAGAACCTCTTGATTACTTCATGACAAACTTCCCCCTTTCTAAATGTCAAGGTTCTCCAGGTAGTCTTATGTAAATAGAGTTGTGCAAGAATTGTGTCCTCTCTGGTTTTGAATAAAAGAACTGAAGAAAACCGTTATATATGATTAAGAGGGAACTAGATTCAACAGCCTTTGTGGAAGCTCTTGCACTTTACGTGATGCTTCGAGAGAGAGAGAGAGAGAGAGAGAGAGAGAGAGAGAGAGAGAGAGAGAGAGAGAGAGAAAGAGAAAGTCAGAGAGAGAAAGAGAAAGAGAGCTATGTAGGGCAGCGTACTATTATCAGGGTACTGGTGCTGCGATAGAGGGCAGTGAACCATTACCGGGGTACCGGTGCTGATGTAGAGGGCAGCGTACTGTTACCGGGGTACTGGTGCTGCTGTAGAGGGCAGCAAACCATTACCAAGGTACTGGTGCTGCTGTAGAGGGCAGCGAACTATTACCGGGGTACTGGTGCTGCTGTAGAGGGCAGCAAACCATTACCAAGGTACTGGTGCTGCTGTAGAGGGCAGCGAACTATTACCGGGGTACTGGTGCTGCTGTAGAGGGCAGCGAACTATTACCGGGGTACTGGTGCTGCTGTAGAGGGCAGCGAACTATTACCGGGGTACTGGTGCTGCTGTAGAGGGCAGCGAACTATTACCGGGGTACTGGTGCTGCTGTAGAGGGCAGCGAACTATTACCGGGGTACTGGTGCTGCTGTAGAGGGCAGCGAACTGTTACCGGGGTACTGGTGCTGCTGTAGAGGGCAGCGAACTATTACCGGGGTACTGGTGCTGCTGTAGAGGGCAGCGAACTGTTACCGGGGTACTGGTGCTGCTGTAGAGGGCAGCGAACTGTTACCGGGGTACTGGTGCTGCTGTAGAGGGCAGCGAACTGTTACCGGGGTACTGGTGCTACTGTAGAGGGCAGCGAACTATTACCTGGGTACTGGTGCTGCTGTAGAGG